ACACACACACACACACACACACACTGAACTGCAGCAGATGTTAGCAAAATGATACACTTTACATTTTACATGAATTCAAATTAAAAAATCTCTGAAGACACCACCTTCGGGCATCTAATCACCTGAAAAGTAATTAACTAGAAACTTTATTTACAACCTCTGGAAATCACACCAACAGCATTATTTTCTAATGTTTTCTCCCAAGTGTCATTGCCCGAATTAAGAGCGTTTTGACCAAAAAATTACATAATTTCTGCAGCTGGGGAGGCTGCAGCCTCCCCCTGCCTTGTACACCTATGAATTCTTGATTCTCTACAATAAGAAATCTTTTTGCTATATAATAAATCCTTTATTTCCCAAGCTTGTTCGATCAAAATGGCTGGATATTAGCCAGTGTTTTTGCAGTTTCATGGACCTTGACTTGGTCTCCGTCCATTAAAACATAAAAAGCAGAACCTTACTAATTTCCAGCCATCTTGACCTCACGCTTGCTCATTAATGCATGTATATCTAAGCATCAACCAATTGTTAAATAAGCAGAGTCTACACTAGTTACTTACAGCTATCTACTCTGTCTGAAATGGATACAACTATTGACATTGTCTACACAAGATTCACCTATATTGTATGCTGGCTACAATGGAAAGTATACCGCAAATACAGTTATCTACCGTCTGCAACAGATGCAGCCATTTAGGTGCAGTGCTCTAAGGAAAATATTTAAATTTCCCGCGTTGAGGTAGTAAAATAATTTTAAACGAATTCAACAATACCTTTCCACGCATGAAAATAAATTTAACGGGAAAAACGGCTTAAGAAATCAAATGAAAAAGAAAAGCAGAACAGCCTTGAGAAATACCTTGCCTGAACGACTTTTAGATGTTTTGTTGTTCAGCGGTGATAGTGTATACATCAACATTCGCGATTTTTGTGTTTTTTTAAGCCTCTGTGACCACTCCCGTGGTATCTGGAGGAAGGAATCATATGAAGATCTATGTCATTTAGAAGCCATGTGATGCTGAAGAGCCATTTTCTCAAAAAGTTTCATGCCAAATGATGGTGTTTTCTTTCTCTGAGCTCGACATCGTGCTCCTTCGACCTTTAATTACCAGTCTTCTCTCCGATCCCTTGCAGAACCAAAGAGGGGAGGGTGAAGGTAAAATATTTGCGTAAATGGCTCCCGACTACGATTAGTCCCTGCTTTTCGGCAAAGTCCGTTGCACAAGTCAAAAAAAAACTCAGTGAGAAAAAAATTGGATTTCAACGTGCTGCACCTCACTCCCAGAGCTCCGCAACTGATTTTTTTTCTTTATCTGGTGCAGCCGGACTTAGGCCTAGTCCACACGTATCCGGATATTTTCGAAAACGGAGATTTTTTTCTCTGGATTTCGAAAACAGCCGCGTCCACACGAACCGTATTACAATCGTATTTGCCCGTCCACATGTAAACGCGACTACGTTATAAATACGCTAGACTTTACATACGGAGCATGCACAGGCTAATTGCGCATGCGCACTGTGATAAGAATAAGCCTGCGAAAATCAGAGAGTTTGCCGCCATCTTAAATAAATAAATTAATTAATTAATTAACTTTAATAGCTAACTTAATTACTGGTAACCCAGTAGTTTACATTGTGGGCTATAAACAAATAATTCGAATTGAACATAACATTGTTAAGAATCCCAACTAGCCTCCCCGATCTTTGTTTGGGTTCTCCTCGTGTGAATTTCTCCGCTTTATTTCTGTAATTCAGGCTGTTAAGATCCCAATTTCTTCCGAAAAACAAGTAATGAAACGCCAAAATCTTCCAAACAGGCAAGTAAATCGAAAGGGAAAGGGATGACGGACTCGTTCTTGTGGTCAGACGATGAACTTTGAACTACTTTTGAAAGTTACTCACTCCTCGTTGATGACGATTCTGTAAACGAAGTTGTCCCACCACGCACTAGACCCTAACTTTGACGTCGTCGTATTCAAAAACCTTTGTTTTCCACCGTCTACACGAATACAATAAATCTCCGTTTTTAAACATCTACAGTCTGGAGATCGTATTTAAAAATATTCCGTATTTGTCGCCAAAAACGCCGTTTACGTGTGGACAGGGCTGCAAACGGAGAAAAAAATCTCCGTTTTCGAAATATCCGGATACGTGTGGACTAGGCCTTAGCCGAAAAATGTAATTTCTGACGTTTGAGTGACATGGGAACGAATTAGTCAGCAATTATATCCTGACGGCACGTTGAAGAGCATCACGGTAGTTTCGGATTATTTAAGCGTTTCGCAGGAAAATCAAGTCATTCTGGGTCGGTCAGTCTTAGGTTTGACCACTTTCTTTTTTTTCTTTTTTATGTAAGTTTGTTTTACAACTCTCTATAAAATATCACTGCTTTCATTGAATTTTCTGTGTGATTAATAGAATAACTAGGTTTACTTTAATAACCCTTTCCTCGGGGTATAGTGCTGCTGCATTGGATGAGGAATACGTTTCCACATATTTTTTGGCCACTTCTAAAGAGTGGTTTTTTTAGTGGTTTTTCGTATCTGGCGTAGCACAAGCTATTTTTGTATAACCCTTCAGTTTCAGTGAATACTAACAGCACATTGCAGATCAACAACAACAACAGCATTGACTTTATTTTTTAAAATTAAAGAAATAAAGGCCTTTGTAGCCCGCAGTTCTAGGCGGGCTACCTAAACAGACACTGTATAGGCTCTCACACACACACACACACACACACACACACACACACACACACACACACACACACGCACACACACACGCAACAATGAAATAAATAAATAAATGAGCAAATAAAAATAAATAATAAATAATAGTAGTGATAATCATGTTAAAGGTTTTAACTGGGCCAGTCACACAAGGGAGTTTTTAACAGGTCAAAGAGAAAGCTAATCAGTTGAAATACAAATATAAGCTAGAAAGGTCAAGGTAGCGCAAGTCAACATTCATCTCCTCAATTTCAAGAATTTTCAAAAGCAAGTGAGTTAGCTCACGTTTAAAAGGTGCTTTCCTTAGCTTACGAATTTCAGGGGGGATAATACATCGGAGATGGACAGTCATGCCAAGGTACGAGTG